TGTGTTCTCCATTCTTTAAGCACCGGTTTGAGCACCGTTTGAGCACCGGCACCGTTTCAAAAGTACCGGTTTGGTACTGGTATCGGATAAAACCTAAATGATACCCATCCCTAGTTACAAGGATATCTTTAAATCTAATTGAGTATTGTATTTGTGACATATGAGCACACTGAGAAGAAACATAAACAATAAAGACAATAAAACACACCTTCCAGCAAAGAGGAATGGGATGAAACAACTTCTTTGGTATAAAAGGATTTGTGGATTTTTTTTTTTATTTAAGAATAAGTTTATAAATTAATATCATGACGGAAATAAGTGTCTTTAGTCACAACTCCTAGTTTTATATATATATTTTTTTATTATTTTTTATCGCTAACAGAATGCAACGACCACCCGATTTTGTGCTGTCTTACTCTGGGTGGTGTAAGATGAATATGATACAGGTTATTCTAAACACTGAAACATCAACATCAGTGTTGGAGGACCTTATGAAGGTAAAATCTCATGCTCCACTGAGGAACAAGAACACAGAAAGGATGCAGATCACCTGATATACACATGTCTGTACCTGTGATTTGGACTGATGGAACTTTCATGAGGCGAAAGCTTATTTATGTGAATTTTTCTTATGTATTGCCCTCTCAGAGACTTTTATGTTTGATATTGACTGACAAAGAAAAAAACAGATAATGACCATGATTTTTTTTATTTCTTAAGAGTATAAATGTTGACCTGCTCAGACAAAGCGCTTCAGCTAAAAATATATTTATAACTGGGATAACAGTATCTGTATTATGATTCAGGTAATATAGTCCAAAAGAAAGAAAGAAAATAAATTATCTGAATAACAATATTACTTATAATAACAATAATTATAATAAACAGTGTCAAATTAGAATTCATAAACTTTTTCTGTTTGCTTGTTTCTTTTGTGAAAATTCCCATAAAATCGTCCATGAGAAAAAAAATCCAGCATATATTCTTTTAAAGTTGCGAAGGGGATCTCTCTTTCTGGGGCACCCCCCTTTGGTCGCACATATTTACAATATTCACAGTAACTACGAACCTGTTCCGCACACGTTAAACTGCACTCAGGCCGTCAGCGGGAGCACAGGTTTGAGGTGCAATGACATTTTTGTGTTTACATGTCTGTGCCTGACTGAGAGGAAGCAGATTCGTTTTCCATCAAAATTGGTACCTATAGATAAGCAGTAAAAGGTCCTTGACCCTCATCGCACATCTTTTCTCCGACCCACCACTGGCATCATCAGTCGAGATGAAGACACACAAACCGGGTGCCTGTAACACTGTACACACAGTCCTCTAGTTTAGACCCTCATCCCACTTCATGTAACCATCTCAGATTCTTGTAGGCAACTCTACACCACCTCACCCTCTCACCCCATCGCCGTTACCATGTTGGAGTGGTGTGGGTGGCTGAATGACGGGTGTATCGGGGTGGGCGTAGGCAGCATGTGTCCAGTGTGGCTAAAAGGTGGCAAGTGGCCCATGGTCATGTGACCGAGAGAGGCGGCGCTGAAGTGAGCGCTCTTGTCGTGCAAGCTTTTTGAAAACTCCTCGTAGCTGTCGCTGGGCCGCTTGCTCTTTTTGGACTTGTTGGACATTTTGCGGTTGCGTGTCTGTATTCCTTCCTTCTTCATGGTCAGAGGCCGGTTCACCTGCACAAAGAAAGTTTGGTGAAGAGGTGAATAATGAGGTTAAAGTTAGGTGCTGGAGCTCACACCTAGAAGTATTAAATGTTTGTGAAAATAGCAAAATATATTTCAAAAGTCGAAAATCAATTATGCATTAATCCATTCCTTCTTGCTTGTCCTGTCTGTAGCCGTTGGTTCCCACTGCAGTGTAAACCTTGTAAAGCTAGTTTTGTATTTACTGGACTATAATTTTTCATCAAAATATAAATCAATATATGTCAAATCAAAGAGGACTAAATTGTCCAGCTGTTGAGGACAGTTTTCAGCTGCTAATTAATACACAATGCACTCCAGGGACTGGTCACAGCAACAGCATCATGAATCATGCATGGTGGATTAACTACAATAAACTGTAATGCACATGCATGGCATCAAGTAGCAGCACCACTCAGTGCAATTCACTAACTACAAGTTATAAACACTGTCAGTTGTTAAAAGAGAAATATGCACATCCACAACCACAGAGTCCTTTTTTTTTATACCTTAAGCTTTAATGCTATTCATATGGAGGCTGGGCTTGTGGCAGTCCCACTATATAACAGTCCCACCATTGTGACTCTCAAGGGGATTACGCCTACCATGGAAACAATAAAGCACAAAGAAAGAAAACACCAACGAATGCAACAGTGTCTGAGAGTAAAACAACCCTTTGTCTCTCTCTCTCCCCCTTTCCTCTCTGTCCTCTCCCTCTCTTTTCTGCCTCTCCTATCACTCAGCAATCAGGGTAAACTGCCCGCTCACTTCCCATCTACTGGACCCCAAACTGGGGATCGAGGATAAAAACTTACATTGTGCAGTTTATAGTAGAGGCCGCAGGCGTTGCACACCGGGTCCCCATTCGCATTACGCCTCCAGAGTGTGGTGGTGGTCGTCTGACAGTTAGCACAACAGGTGCCTGCTCGTCTGGCTGCAGACTGGAAGAATAAATATCAAGCTCTGATTAGAGCACAGGAAAATAAGGCATGTATGCAGAAATCTAGAATAGACTTAACTTTCTAATCCAGTGATTTATACTGTTTTGTGACATTAAGGTCGCAGCTGTTGACTCACAAAATTTGTTTTTATTGGACCATAAGAAAAAATAATAATAATCAAATTGTGGAGAATGCTCATGTTGTGTTCCCATGAGCATGTGTGACATTTTCAAATGCTTTGTTTTCAGTCCAGTGACATTTAATGATGACATTCGCTAACATGGAAGAATAAGAAAAACACAAGCTGGCAGTGACCGGGCTTAAAATCAGTGGCTCTTTGTGACCTTTACTAATAAAATTATGATTGATCACTAATTGTTATTATAAGAAAACAAACGTATTGGTGACTAATAGTGGCAGCTCTGTTTAACTGATGTTAGCTAGCTCCTCAGTGTATTCACAGTTGATATAAAATGTATTATTATGATGTCATGTGGGAAATAGATTTTGATAGAGTATTGTGGTAACATCAGTGACTTCAAATTATGTTTATGCCCCGTTTTTAAAAAAATAAATAAATTAAAAAGCCAAATGAATCTGGGGTCATACGTCACACCTGATTGCGTCATGCTTTTAGGTGAATCCGTTTTTTACTCAACACCATCATGACTCTAAATGTTCCAGTAATTGGTACTTCACTAAAAATTAAGTGTGACGTCGACACGTCGTTCAAGCATTTTTCCAGCTTTTTTCTTTTTCTTTTTTTTCTGTGAACAGAGTGAAAGTAAGCGTACCCGGGGTGCACTGTGGCACACATCAACAGTTAAGCTTTGCCCCTTCTCCTTTTGTTTAATTTTTTTTTAATGAAATGTATTTGCTTTCCTTTCTGTGTTGTGGACGGAAAACCTGACCACTAGAAAGTGAGGTCTAAGCTTGCTAGCTAGTTAGGAGGCCGCAGGAGGAAGCTGGCACTGGCCCGCCGCTTTATCTGGACCGGTCAGATATCCGGATAGGAAACAACTGGAAGGCTTCTGAATACAAGACGCATTCGGAGCTCTGCGAGCCCGGGCCGACGTATACGGAAAGCATGCGTGATATATGATCGTATATGCATTTATTCTGCACTTAATGGCGTCGGGATTTTTTTTTTAAATATTATTATTTTTAGATAAAGCAGAGAATGAATCCTTTGCTATTATCCATCTCTGCTGAAAGGATTTAATTCGGGAAGTGACAGCCTTCAGCGCGCGTCAGCCCGTCTGATCAATGCAGGTTTTTCTCTGGCCGATTCACGTTTATATTTACAAGATTATTAAGACAAGACCTTCTCTTGTTTTGTGCTTGGTCTTAATTATTAGCCTTTCCTCATCTTCTTTACCATCTTTCCTTCGGTGCCAAGGTGTTTTGCGATGCTTGTATTTCGTCGTCCCTCCCGTAGCCAGTGGGATTCAAATATTACTTCTACAGAACGCTATTCTCATTAGAACAAATTACACTTTGACATGTTTAACTATATCAGTTCCCTCGGGGGCTCCTAATGTATTGATCCGCTGTGCCTTTGGTCAGCTTTTTAAAGCGCTCTCCACAAATCCTGGTGTAAAGTGTGGTGGCCCACACAGCTACACAGCTGCCTCCTAGTGCAGCTGACAAACTGTAAACACAGCAGCTGAGCAGCTGCAGGTGGTTCCACGAATGCATTTCAGGTACAAAGATATAATTATTTATTTATTATTATTTAATTTTAATACTCTGCAGCCAAAAGCTGACGCTGAAAAAAATACAGAAAGCTGGAAAGTAGCATTCTTGTTGCTTCTTTCCTTAAAATTAGATTTCACCATAACTGTGACTTATCTTGTGTTAACTGTGTTAAACAGATGAATTCACAGTAATCAGTGGGATGGGTGTGACATAAAGTTGGAGTTGAACGCTGACCTACTTCTCTGTGAAGCGGTTCATAATAGGAAATATATGTTGCTGATGATTCAGTTCTTTATTGTCCCTTTAAAACAATTTGTCTGACAAACAGCTTTGTTTTGCTTTGTTTACTTACACACACAGACACACACACACATGCACACACACGCACACACATAATCTTTACTAAATCCCAGTCACCATACAAATTGTCAAAATATCAGCACAGCATATAGCAGCATTATGACCCATACAGTGTCAGCGAGGCTCCGAGTTATTTTGATGGATAGTAATGATGGCCCTGCTATCGATGACAGTATCAGAAGTAGCTGTAATAATGATAACAAAACAATTCAGAGAGATCCACTCTGCGAACAGTCTGAGCTAGAGGAGCAAGAGGTGAGTGAGAAACACAATTCCTGGAAACTGATTGGGAAAATATAACTTTCCTGGAATTGTACCTCATTCCCCTCACCCTTCACCTTACACTCTTTTATTTACTACCCTGCACAATGCATACACACAAACACACACACATGCATGCATAGCCATTCAATTCCATATAAAGAGAGCAATGGACTCACCAGCCTGCGTTTAGGCTTGATCAGTGGTCTGTTCTGGCCATTCATCTTGTGGTACAGCCCACAGGCGTTGCACAGGTAGTGTCCGGTGCTGTCACGTCTCCACAGAGGTGTAGAGGTAGCTCCACAGTTTACACACTCACGGCCCTCTGAAGGAGAACACACATGGACATTTGTAAAAACTGCCACCTAATTTAGAGCTTAGCCTGCGGGATGTATTTATTCTTGGTGTTGATGTGTGCAAGTGTGCGCGGACATGTTTCATTTAGATGGCAAGGTTGATGTGGCAGCTCTCCCAGCAGTTGTAATTCACACTGACAAACAACTTATTTTAAGCCCATTAAAGGTAAAATAATCTGCTTTTGTATCAAGTGATGCTTTATTTAGAGAAGAAATTAATATCTAAATGTGTTATACTAGACAATGAAGTGACTCTTTCAGAATTTACACTATCAGATGCACAAAGGAGCCAAAAGCTGACTTTATTGTTCATCTCTGCTTCATCCTCAATTTCCAAGGCTTCAACATCAAGTCTTATTTTTCTTCTAAAATAAGTCTTGACATAAAACACCTGTAACGCTACATTAAATACATTTAATTATTTTCAAGTACTTAAAAAATGCCATATAAGTATGTTGTTGTCAAAGAAATACACTTGTAGCCAGTTAGGATTTCATACGTCATAAGCATAATAATTAATAAAAAGATAGTTTGGGTTTCCCTGGACTTTGTCTCTGGTAACAAGTTGGTCAAACACAATCAGGCTTGAAGCTGATCTGTTATCAAATAACAATCAGGACAATGTATTAATGTCTTATGTAACAGAGAAGCGACTCTTAGCCTAAATACTGAGGTTTTTGGCTCCGTGCGCCTGCGGATCATCCTTTCACACCTCTGGGCTGGATCCAGTTCACTGTTCGCGCGGCCAGCTCAGGCAATTACAAAGTCACGCTCAACAAAGGAGATTTATCAAAGTGGCTCTGTGCTGGAGATCTGTGGAGTGTATATGCTCCGGTCTGTAACATCATTCCCTCCGAGAAAACGCTAATAAAAAAATGTATTTAGTAGTTGTTTTTCTACTTGTGTTTCCCAAATGTGAAAAATTAATGAGGCAATCAGCACAGCGTGCACATAACAACTGACTGGCTGTGTTTAGTGTAAATTGCGGAGGAACTCAGTGCAGAATTAGGACGTAATTCATAAACAGACATTTTTAAAAATATATTAAACTGATTTATGCTCTTATAATGTGGATGACAGTAAAAGACCTGGGAAAATAAACGTCCTAAAACGGCGTTAAGGTTGTATTCTCTTGGTAAATGGTGCTCCTGTAAATATTTACAATTATTTTTATTTAATTTTATTTAATAGCAGCTATTGTGTTGGTGGTGATTCTAACTGTGGCATTTAAAAACTACTCTAGGTTTAATAAACAATTGGCTTGTATTTTTTTTACTGACTGGCCATAATTACCGAGAGTGAAAAATCAGTTTATTATTATTAACAAATTGCGTGAATTTAAAGGAGGTTAAAAATCGCCAAAGCCAAACGAGTTACGCAAACCAAGATTTCTGCTTCCTAAGTAAAAAAGCCCAAACAGCAGGGCGCCACAGATCGTTTTAAAAACGCATACATCGCGGTGGTTTGTGATCTCCCTAGAGTTAAACATTCTTTAGGTTTAGTTTAGGCTGGTAAAAAAAAAATTAAACTGAACCGCTTAAACAGCAGTCCTGCAATAAGATCGTTACATAAACCATAGACAGACTTTACATACAGGTTCTGGCTTTGTATTTTCACATTTACTTTGTTTTATGTGTGTATTTAAATGTGTGTGAGCTGGACTCACCGGTGCAGGACCGTGTCTTGCCTTTGTTCTTGGTAGTGAAACTGGATGAGCCCAGCAGGCTGCCCGGGTGGAACAGGCTGCTGCCGTACTCGTGGGCCGCTGGGAAAGAGTAGGGAGCGTACGTCGGTATGGGGTGGTGGGTGGTGGGGGTCTGGGCGTTCATGGAGGCCAGGCTGCTTCTCAGCGGACTGGAGCCCTCCATCTTCATGCCCTCTGGCAGAGACACTTGGTATTTGATAGATTCCTTCTCGTCGATTCTGGTAGTGGACGACGGAGATGCAGCCCCTGGATCCGGCGACACGTCTTTGGGTGGCGTAGGGGGGAAAGTGTACAGATGAGTGCCGGAGTGGGACGGCGGCGTTAAAGAGGATGCTGAGACCGTGTTTGAACTGCTGCTGCACGGGTAAACGGCGGAGAGAGCGCCGGGGGACGCAGAGCCAGGGTGGTGCAGGCTGGGCTTACTGAAGGGGCTCACGGCCCAGGCGTTGTGGTGGTGAGCCGAGAGGGCAGGTTTCCCTCCGTCAAGCCACGAAATCCCCGGGCTGTGAAGGAGATGAGGCCGACAGACCTGAGTCCCCGTCAGACGAGCTGTGAAGCAGAAGCAAACTTGTTATTGTGGAGCCGATTCCGACTGTGGCGGCTGCAGGTTTAGAGGCAGAAATAGCAAAGACTTGTTGATACACAGGCCTGTTAAACACGTTAATAAAGTAGCATAATATATTTGTAACAGAAATGACAACAGTATGCTCTGAACTATGCGTGCGTAAAAGCAGGTTAGGACTGCACTGTAAAAAACTTCTAATCTAATAAAATGAATAAAAAACAAATAAACCATCCAGACTGTGAAATACAAACATTTGGGTCAATGTAAAATTCCCCAGTTTATAAGAATCATAAGCCTGCGAGTTATTTATAGGCAACATAAAATAGAAAATAAATTAACAGACGTTTTCACAACAACCTGCAGGTACATTTCAGGTTAACTACTGCCTTTTTAATGCCGTGACAAACATCAACTCAGCGCACATGTAGAAATGTGTTTTCTCTTCTGTTTCTGATAGACTCCCGATAAGCCAACTGTTCCTGAGTTTCTGTGTTTATTGTGTTCGTTATTGTGTTCGTTGAAGTTGCACGCCTGCGTTAACTCCATCTTACCGTGCGCCTGGCTGTAGGACACTCTGGCCCTGGCATGGTTGGGGTAGTATGGGTTTCCTTGTGAGTCCAGGTGATTAAAGAAAACATCCACCTCATCCGGAGGCAGGAGCTGCGCCGTGGGCTCCATGTAGTTGTGCCCCAGGCCGGGATGGTGAGAGTCTGGGTGTTGTCCGTTCAGCACGGCGTGGGGATGCACCCAACGGGGCTGATCGGCAGCCACGTCCATCTCTGTGACTCTCTGTAGCGCCTTCACAAAGTCAAACGATATCCAGGTAGGAAGGGGACAGAATACCCCTGAAATATCTCTCCTTCCCGAGGTTTTCACTCTCGTCCACTCACAGCACAGAACTGGAGCTTTGGCTTTCGTCCCTCCCTAACTCAGCTCCTCTCCTCTCCTGAACATTCAGTCGAGTTTGACACTGGAAACCTGCAACAAGTAAACATCACAGGTTAATATTTAAAAAGCAGAGGTATTGTGCAGGCTTGTAGGCATCGGTGCACTAAATGCAGATCGTATGGATGAATCTGGTGCACTAATGATGCAGCGGTAGCAAAAAACAAAGACAACACACCAAAAAAAACCTCAAAACACACATCATTCAACACATCATTCTTTATACCCATCAACGGGCTGATATTCTGCTGTGCGACAATAAGGTAAACATATCTTACCTTTGACAATATTTTATCTACAGTATCCGGTCGGGTGATTCCTCTTTGGAAAACGGCTGTCTGTCCGCGTTTGCTGCTGCAGGTCCTCTACAGTTTACGATTGTGTTTGTCAGAGTAAACTCTGTCCACTGGGACTTAAAGCAACACGTATAACTGTGGCTGACAGCGCGGGGCCTGGCTTGTTAAGCTCATAGGCGGAGTCTCCAATAAAGCTTGGACCCAGCCAATTGAAAACTACCTCCGCAAAACCTCAGAGGCAGCGCCTGCGCCCAGAAAATCACGGAGACATTTCTGTAATATTCCTGCAGACATTGTCTGGCTGCTTGAGGCCAGGCGTGTGCAACTTTTTATTGAATTTTAGGTCACACGCTGTTTAAAATTCGCCAAAAAGACATTTTTAAAATGTTTAGTGCATTTAGAATCAGTGTGAAATATAAAGCTCCCCCCAAGCCTACATGCATTTCAGCCACCGTGGCTAAGAGATCAGCTTCAACAAATCAGTATTTCTTGTTCGAGTGTGTCAGTCTGTTGCCGCATCTTATTTTGCAGGCGGTTTATTACATGAGACAGCTCCATATACAGCGAGCTCGCTGCTGTTTAATTAATAAAGGTGGGCTGATCATTTTCTTTAATGTATACATTAATGTTCCGATGAAGAAGCCATACTGGCAGCGTCGATAATGTTTATTAATCACCTTTTTATGTATCCAGTTATAAAATGAAGGAGTCAGTATTGCATGTCATTTTATTTGTGGTTACACGTTATTACTATTATTTTTTTAAATATGTTTAATGGCCTGTTTTGCTGTGTGCAGGCTGAAAGCTCTCTCTCCCTCTCCCTCCTCGTTGCTTGATTGACAGACAATAATTGGAGAGGGAGCGCGTGCAGCCCCGGCCGGCAAACGCTGCCGCCTGCTTGACGCCGTCTCCTGACGTCAGTGCATCTTAGTGAAGAAAAAACAGATTCAGCAGGACATGAACTTTTTCCAAGACTGAGGGACCAGCAGAGAGAGAGAGAGATTTATCGGACTGTACTGTAGTCCCAGCGGATGAACTCGAGGAAGGACACTGCAACTGATATTTACACTTTGGGAGCATTAATAATACATCAAGTACATCCTCCTGACCCTGCTGTGATTTCGAAGAACAGGCCAACAACCGCCAATCGAACAGCAAAGATTGGGAAGAGGGCAGATTAAAGATTAGATTCGATTAGATTAAAAAGTTTGACTGTGTAAATGTCCTCATTATTTATTATTATTTTTCAAACGCTCATTAAAGTTGTTTTTTGTGTGCAAACGCACTATCTGTCTGTCTGTCTATCTATCTATCTATCTATCTATATAAAATTCGTTTTAAGCAGTATTAAGAGGACATCCATAGCATAAAGAAAGCAGAGAATACCAGAGGGACAAGTGAGCAGTATTAGAGCTCATCAGCATGATAATGTGGAAATACACATGCTTTGAGTGTGAGCCCTTTTGATCTGGCCTGGCGATAAAAACCTTATCGGCAGCGAACATCCACTTCCATTTTAGGACTTGACATTAATTCTATCCACCCTTTTATTTACGGCTCTTTTTCTCACACGAGCCCAGGAGAAAGAGAGAGGTCGCTCCCCGATTCAGCTCTGAGAATTTCATTATAGGGCGAAAAAGGAAGTGGTTTCCCCTCATAATAAACGCCGAGCAGACTTACAGAAAATAGAGTAAAATAAAATAAAATAATAAATTCTAAACGTGTTACACATAAATGCAATGATCTACGCGAAATCACAAATTATTATTATTATTATTATTATTTGTTATTGTCGTTGTTGTTGTTGTTGTTTTTTACTTGCTGCTTTAATTTTTTTGCTTTTAATTATTTTCAAGTGCCTGTTACATTGATGTGTGCGTGTGAGACTGAAGGAGAGAGAAAGAGAAATCCAATCCTGGTGGGATCCTTGGATCCCCTGATTATAGCCCATCCCGGGGTAATTTTTCATCGGTGCTGGCTAATCTTTGTTCTTTGTGAAGATAATAAATAGCCTAATCGTTATCAGCGAGCTGCTGGAGGTGTCGGGGAGAATGAGGCTGATCGGCCCGGGAAATAGGCTCCAAAGTGCCGCGGAATAAATGGCATTTCTTATCTCTCTCTCCCAGATTATCGCCGCCTTTTCAAACTCGCACAACAAATACATCTAATGCAGCGAATGCATCACTTATACTGGACTAGATCTGTGTGAATGATTGATAGATAAACAGATAGAGAGAAGAGGGGCGGCGGGGGGTGATGTTGGCTATTATTTACAAGTTTAATGTTGTGCATGTGCAAAGTCTTTATTCGGTGCATTTGACAGCATAAATACAGCTTGGCTTCCCATTATTTTTGGGTTATCTGCAGGAGCCATCTGAGGTTCCGGCTCTTTGTTGTGGGATATCTAATTTCTTTCTTCTTGGATTTGACTGCATAAGAGTTAAACAGACGCAGCCGCTCCAAGCAGAGAGAAGAAGAAGAAAAAAAATTGAATAATGTTTTCACGTGTTGGAAATTTTGCAAATGGCAAAAGCAGGCGATAAGCCTCGCAACGGTTTGGTAACAGCGCAGAGATTGATATTTGTTTATTTAATCAGTCATGATCATGGCTGAAATCACGCATGACTCCGTATTGTTTGAAAAAAACTCCTGCTCATTTAAATAACAGAATAAAAATGTTTGGTATGTTTGAAGGAAATTAGGCTATTCTGAAATTCTCCCATAGCCCCAAGTTGAAAAGCAAATTTCAACAAAGAGAACGGTTCTACCATCATTTGTCATTTCTGCTATGTCAGGAATTTCGATATAAAGAGAACACTTTTATAAGACAATATGCTGTTGATAAAACTAATCAGGACAAAGCCTGTGGTTCAGGGCTTCATTCAAAGAAAAGGAAAATCAGTGTTCCGTCATGCAGACAAAAAGAATAGGAGGAACCTTTTTTGTTGTTGTTGTACTGTGGATACGTGTGTTCGTGGGGAGTGATCGGTTAATGCAGAAAAAAGGTATTTTCCAATATATACAAACTGGATGCTTAATAACTTGGCAGCTGCAGCAGGCCTGGGTGCTGCTGATGGTCTCCAGGGTAACGCAGATAACGGCGCAGTCATTTTCCATATCGTACAGTCTATTATATTCAAGGATTAGTTCTCCTTCCCGAAAAGGTCAAACAGAAAGTCAAACCAGGCAAGAGCGCTCCTCCTCTCCTCGCTCCACTCCCCCTACAATGACAGAGCATTTCCCATTTCTCCCCCCCCCCCCCCCCTTTTTTTTTTCATATTGCACCAGTGTGAGGGCCTTTGCTGGGATGCTTTGATAGATGCAAGCATCGCATAGCGGACAACAAACCTCTTTGCATGTTCCTAATAGCACTAATTCTGGGTTGAAGACTGTGACAAATTACATAAGGCTTCAAAGTGAGGTAGCATATCAGTCTTTGCAAACCCCTTCAAGTTGTGCCCAAGTCTGAGAGAAGATAGGGGTAGGTTGATGACTCCCGCACAGACGTAATCACAGTCCTTCAAACGCTGCCGGTAATCTGCCTACATAGGTTACTCTAAAGTATATATTTTGAAGGCAGCTGAGTTAATACGTGAAATACCAGAGATGACCATTTAAAAAGTATTTTCTTCTTCTTCCTTTCAGAGCTGATTGCTGAGACATCACAGCGGTGTGTGACAGTTATTCCTGAAGTCAAAAGTTTTCCTTTTATAGCAAGTTTTTTGCGACAGGTCATTAAGTGCACATGATTTAACATCTAATGGAAATGAATGAATGAATGAATAAATGGTGAGTTTAGAAGCACTTATAGATTAGATTAGATTCTGCAGTCAATAAAAAAATAATGGGAAAATAAAATAAAGTTCCTTAAAGTAGTGGGTCTAATTTAAAAAAACATAAAACTGATGTAATTCTCAGTTTCATTTTATTCAAAGTTACTTTTAAAACAATGTTTGTTTTTTATTTGATTTTTTTCTTTATTAGAAATTTAGCATCATTCGAATTTGTTTGATTTCATGGATAATTAAATGTTTAGATAACTTAATTACTTGAATTAAAATTCAATTTGAATTAGTATGCATGTAATTATATGTATTTTCCGATTTTATTGGATTGAGCATACAGTGACAGCCAGTGTTCAAGAATCCTTTTAAATAAAGTGAATACATAAAAAATTACAAATATGACGTCCATTAAAAAAAGTTAATCTCTCGGCAGCTTTTTGAATAACTTGTTAGAGCTAGACTAACGCTTGGCCTGCAAATTAGGAGGACTCCTAATGGTAAGACAAAACTGTGCTGCTGGTTGAAATAATCAGGCAGACAGTGACACCTAGGGGAGAGTAGTAGTTCTGTTCACCCTGATTGGGAAGATTTAGATTCTGCTTCATTGTATATTTTGCAGCAAAAAAAAAAAAAAAAGGGGGGGGGGGGTTTAAAAAGGCCAATGACTAAACCTTTGTATTTTTCACCACCATCATCCGGAAAACAAATGTGCCACAATGCTTTTGAGAGAAAGTTGTTCATCCCTTAAAGTGTCTGAGATTTACAGGATCTATGCCGAGGAGCAGCGATGCTGTAATCTTTCCTTTTCCTTATGCACAGTTTACACTTTATAAAAATAACCATAGTTAGGCCGCTGTCCTTCATGCTAGCAAGCTGCTGAGCAATGAGGTTAACAAAACGGGTTCTTATTTACACTGTAATCCAGTGATGTGTTCTAACATATGCCCACTGTGGTGACCCCTTGTGACAACAGAGCAGTTGTAGCTTTTTATTTTGTAATTACTGATTCTTCCCTATTTTCTAAACTCCTGTTGTCCACACATCTCAGTGAAAAACTATTTCAGCATCTTGAATATCTTTAAATATTCTCATTTGATCTTGCATTTCTCTCTGTGTAGCTTTTCTTAGTCATTACAGGTCATAGGTTCACTTCCTGCCCAGAGAGCAGCAGGATATGAGAGTTTACAACACCTTGTCACTAACCACTTGTCAATCAATCTCTGTTTCACTGCAGCTGTCCGGGGAGTTGTAGAATTCAAAACAACCTTTTCTCCCCCCTCAACCTTCACGTGTTCATCAATTTCACTTCATCATTCTTTTGTTTTGTCTTTGTGCTAATCCAGTTCCTGTGGGTAGAGTGAGTGTACGTCCGAGTGTGCAGTGTATATGTTAAGGTGTGCGCTCAGTAAGGACTGTTCAGGGAAAATGGCCAGAAGTAAAACTAAAGGCTGAATTTGATAGTGACTTGTAACTTTTTCTACATTTTCTGTAATTACGACACCAAACTGAATAAGATAAATATGTTCACAGTTTAAAAGGAGATTCTCTGTGCCAATTCATCAAGTTCAGCTTCAGATGCCCCTTGTTCATTTCTGTTTCTGTCAGTCAACCAGGAATCTTTAATGAGTTTTTCACAGATTAAATCAAGTAACGTTAACCTCCAGAAATAGCCAGAGGAAATTTATCACCATCCATATGACAGAGACTTTGATGGATTTTATGAGGGCTTCAATAAGAAATTTACAATCAAAAGAACCAGTTTTGACCAGAAGAAATCAGTCTGGAGCTGCAAAACATATTCTAGCTTTATGACGAGAGTGACACAGCTTATTTATCTAATTTAATGTTGCATTTGCATGCAGTAATATCATGTTTTGTTGCTGTTATGAACTTACAGCAGTCATCTTTATTACCAACCAAAAAAAATTAATTTCCATTCATCTTATTAATCAGCTAGTTTTTTGTTGTGTGGCTCTGGGAGCCACAGGCTCGAGACCCTTGGACCAAACATGCATTTTTTGCATGCTCTGCATCTACATGTGCATATGTTCTGGTACACATGGTGGTGTTGTGTGTTTTTGCATCTGTCTGCTCATTCTGTGTCTGATCCTCAATGATTTCCCGTCTATAAATCCCCAGACTTTCTGCTTGGCTTAAGCTGATTCTACAGAGCTAACCTATCCTATATGTCACACGCACATCAGACACAGAGGCGCTGAAAAAAAGACATCTGATCCATTCCTGTCTCTTACTTGGTCTTTGTGTAAAAAGATGCCTACAGCACACACACACACACACACACACACACACACACACACACACACACACACACACACACACACACAATAACAAAGGAAAATCTCGTAGCATTTACAGAAATTCAGTGTGGCTTTTGCGGCTGCTCAGGCAGAAGACAGTGAAGTCATCAGAGTGCAGTGACAGAGTGTGTGTGTGTGTGTGTTTTCCCTCTTTGCCACAACTTTCTGCAGGTGCAAGAGAGAAAGCTACAGAGAGAAGAGAAACACAGCTGACCATTGGGCTGCTTTACCACATCCTTCATACTGAACTTTACACACACACACATATGCTCATGCACACATGTACGCACATTCATTCTTTCTCTCTCAGTATTCATATTTCATAATTTGACAAGCACAGTGTGCATATTTAAAGGATTTATTGGATTATTAATTGTGAAAGGTCTTCCTGGTATATTATGATGAGCTGCTTCTGACCCCCTGGAGGTCGCCCGCATGAATTTTGTTGTCAGCAGGTATTATCAGATTAGATAATCCTTTGATTTGGAGTCTGCCTGATCAGCACTCTCAATCGTTTCACCCCCTCTCCTGTTATTTTCTCCGTCTTTCCCTCACATCAGAGGTGGATTATTATGGAATTGCATGAGACGTAAATGCTGATGGAAGTAAAGCGCTTTGGAGCAATAATTCACGACACTGAGAGCGCGCCATGTTCCTCTCCTGTACTCGCTAAAAGAGACTGAGGCTATACAGGGCAGCAGGCAAAGGCCTGGCCACTCAGCAGATGTGAAACCAGTAAGATGCCTTTGGGAGATGTTAGAATGAGGAGATTTGTATCACAGCTGTGCAGCAGACACATTTGCAGGATGGCAGCTAAAGATGAGCAAATGAAGCACCTACACAGCATCAATGATAGCATTAATGTGGTGTTTCTAATAAAGTGCTTGTGAGCGTGTATATTCATACACATGTGAGTGAATCAGTGAACCAGCTTCCTTCTGTGTTAAAAACACTGAAGATTCATTTCTATGAGCAGCACATTTAATACGCAAGTGGTCAACTTTAATCTAATGTTGAAGTTGCTGCTTTAAAGTATCAAGTGAAGCTTTCTTATTATACCAGAAGTTCATCAAACACGGTTTTATCAAAACTATTATAACTGATTACATAAAATTTAAATGTCATGAATGACTAATTTTGATGTAAAGTTTATTGACTTTATTCACAAGTATTCAACTTTTTGATTTAAAAAAAGTGCTGTACCAGCAAGCACTGCAATAATTTTAGTCTCCAAAAGATTTTAAACATGCTGAATGTTAATCACATAAATATTTAGTTAATTAAAAGTTGTTGTTTTTTGTGTTAGAAAAAAACCCTGCAGTGCCTCCGCTCCCTGCCTGCAAACCCTCTCCACCTCCACTTTCATGCGCACATTCATGCATAAAGATGGAGCGAGGCCTGCCACTTGGCGCCCTCTGAGCCCTCCCTCCCTCCTCTCCCCTCCTCACCTCAGCTCCTCACCACATCAGGATACACTTGTTCTGGTGAATTCCGGTTTCAAACGGAACGCTGCCTTTCTCTGGTTTTTTGCAGGACCAGTATTAAAAGCAGGCACATGCTGTCTCTCAGTGGTCCTGTGGTCAGGGAAACAAGCCTCTAACGGCCTGTTATACTCACACACCTTTCAAACCTCACCCGCTCCTGCTTCCTCCCCACCCTCAAGCCTTCCTCCTACTTTCCTTGCACTTGACAGCCGCCATGCATGCCCTTATCGCAATGAGAGCAGGTTAAAGTATGAAAAGTTCCTTCCACTGCAGGCCACTAAGTTCATCCTCCCGCCTCCTCCATGCTGTCACCTCACCAGATTCTTTTCTACTATGCAGTGCTGCTGAGCCCGAGACTCATTTACACCACAGTCCGCATTAACACACCTGTTTTGTAATTTTGTAAAGTCTTAATTTCAAAAACTTACATCACTATGAGCAGATTTTGTCCTTTGACCTCCAGTACCAATTATGGCGCCCCCAGTGTTGAAAAGAGGCACGGCAACCTGAAGCTTACAGTCAAGTCAGGGCTGTTGTGCTTTCAGCAGTTCTCTGAAACCTTATGAGTTGAACAAAACTTATCAAAACCCCTGAAATAATTCGGAATAACATATATGGCTTCAAAAAATAAGACCTCAGTTATTGTTTTTACTCATCGCACTTCACATAAACAGGCTGTAGGTTAAGCACAGTTATTGTCTCCGGCTGTTTATTTTCTGACAGAGCACAGTGTTGCTATTGTTCTCTCATTTCTATAGACACTTTGTTTGCCTTGTTTGCTATAGACTACTGTGCAGTTTCTCATGTGAAAGTTGTTTTCCAGATTTGCTCTAAGCAACATTGCCACCTGCTGTTAAACACATGGATGGGAATATCACATTCCTACAACTTCAGTCATTTTCAGCAGTCAAAAAAGGGGCAGCCCACATTTAAAACTCTCTCTGCCTTCATCCATGTTCTTAGAAAATCCTTTGAGTGTGAAGAGAGATTATATTCATTTTGGAGCCAAATCTGAGGAAAAACACGAAATGTTTCCAGGGTGAAATATTGAAGTGTTTTGTGAAGTCTTACTCTGCATTTCAATATGATATAAAGAGAAAGTGAGACTGATTATTATTAACGTTTGGTGGACTGATGGATATTACCTGGATAAACAGATTATTTGATTGGGAAACTTTTTTTTCCCCATTTGCCGTGATTATTGGCCACCTATCCATATTATAAGAGCTTATCCATTTCAGGGTCACAATGGGGCTTGAGCAGGTTCCAGCTTTCATAAGGTGAGATGCAGGACTTAACCAAGATAGGTTAAGAGTCTATCATAGGGCATTTGAGATCATATTATATTTTTAAGTTTTTGTAACCAGATGGGCTGTTCTAAATTTTCTACATCATGTGAAAGATTATAAAAACATATTTTATAAGCACCACAAAGATAATAAAAAAAAATAAAAAATAGAGCCTCCTGCAGAAAGATGAACACACTACTACTAACATGAGTTCTGTTTTAAATCTGATATTTTCTTGTGTCACTTAGAAATAAATGACACATATCTGAACTTCCCTCAGAGGAGCACAGTGTTTCTCAAAGGGATGTGCTGGCTAACCGCTGCCCAGTCTGGGCTTCCGGCCCTGGGGCAGCAGAGCCTGCTGATACCCCTCCGCACCCCTCCGCACCACCACTATCACCCCACTCCAGACACTGTGCCAGGATACTGTGGTGACACAACCCTGGGCGTCTGTTCCTCCCTTGTCAACAAGACTGATGGATGCAGAAAGGAGGAGAGAAGAAGAGATCAGGAGGAGTGATTGAATTTATTGAAAGCAGTTGCAGCTCGGAGCATGAAGAGTCAAAAAGGAGGAAATTTGAGAAGGTCTGAACAACATCAGTCAAACTCTTATTAAGTGATAGAAAGCAAAAATAGAGAGTGATGATGAACAGAAAGTGGTAGGAAAAGGTTTTTGCTCCATTTATTGATGACATAGAGGGAAAATTGATTTAGATACTGAGCTTGATTTTTAGACGTTCATCTCTATACAGGCAGAATCTCTTAAAGATAAAAAAAAAAGAATTTAGATTGACAGAATTTTATCCTGGTTTTAATTTCTTTTGTGTTGACTTCACATTTCATCTTCAGCTGAGACAAAGCTTTTCTCAGTCTCTACAATACAACCAGGAGCCACCAGGGGGCAGAACACAGAGCCATCCAGCTTTGTTTCCAGCACACACGAAGACACACAGAGAAAATTAAACTAGAAAGCTGATATGTATAATAGGTTTTATGGGTGATTGATCATAATTGCTTATCGTTAGCCTGTGTGTGTGTGTGTGCGTGTGTGTGTGTGCAATATTATGTGTTATGTGTGAAACAGGTGAAAAGGTGAAAAGGAGCTTGTGGTTGTGTAACAGTGATTACCTTCCCATGATGTGTACAATGGGATCCATTTGTTTTTAAGAAGCCAAGCACATCATGCACCTCCTTATCTGCTGAGAGAACCACTGACTCCTGTGTGTGTGTGCATGTGTGTGTGTGTGTGTGTGTTTGTGTGTGTGCATAAAACAGACATCTCCTTGTGTGTAGATAAGTAGTGTATGTGAAATACTTCGACAGGTAGGAGGTCTGACAGCAGTGTGTCTTTGTGTTTAGATGAGAGCGCTGTCACACGATCACATTAGACAGCCTGCTTGTTGCAGAGACTGACAGCTCACTGCAAACAATGCTAAAAGTAAAAAGTCTTTTACAAAGACTGTGAGACACACACCCACTGACTCACATACCTACTCCCAAAACGTCTTCGTGAAACACATCTGTGGATGAATCACCCCCGCTGACACCAACTCTAGAGACCAGGGGAGGGTGACTGTTTCAGTATGTTTGTGTTTGATTTAATAGAGGTGGGTGGAGGACGGTTTGCCAACAGAAAAGGAAAAAAAGAAGGTCCTGAGAGTTAGCGTCAGTGTGTTAGACCTCTACCTGGGAAAGTATTAGTCAGGTGAGATGGCCTGTCTAAAACTGGGCTACTCTTGGTTTAGTATCAGACTGTGAGCTTTGGCTCTTTGGCTTTCTATTAAAGCAGCTGGAGGCAGAACATACAGTAGGGGACTGTGGTTAGACACCCTGTCACATGAATCACAGTGTGATGAAGTTTTAGTTTTAGGAGTTGTGTATATAACAGCTGAGCTCTCTGCAGGGACACGATGACCTCTTGCCTTTTAGTAAATGGTCTCCCATGACTTCATCTGACCTACAATGTCTGTGAGCTGCTGCAGGCAGCTTGTATAGGTCACAGAGCATAGACAGGTAGGAACACAAGCAAATTACCAGTATTAACTCATGCATGTGAAGGATGACTTTCATGTGTGGTTTGGGTTGTTTGTCTTGTCCTTAAACTGTTAACACGGAGAAAACATGCCTCCCCTGGCATCCTGTGATACATTAAGGTAGCCTTTTGCAGGTTGTTGATGTGCAATAAAGATTCTGGAAATTTATTACAGCAACCTCTGCAATATTTTCAATATGTATTTAACTGTTTCACAGTTATGAAGTAACATGTATTTTTTACCAGAGTGAGCCCATCATAAAGAAAGTAGAGCTTCACAGTCTGCTAATCAGCATTTAAACATTATTTCTTTTACACTTTTTTTAAAAATCTTTTAGCTGCTATCTGCATATAACTGATAAGTGACATGAAAGCAACGCTAAATATAGTGACCAAAGCATCTATCGATTATAAAACAAGAAAGAAAGTGTCTGGTGTGATTATTACTGTAGTCTACTGCACAGCAAATTTTCCCCATTATGTTGACATCATTATCTTTAGTCTGTTCCCATAAAGTTTTTGGGTCTTGTCTTCATCTCCACCCTCTTGAAGGAGTAGCGCTCTCCAGTTCGTCCATCTGTCAGGATGTACCACGTTCCCCAGTAGATGCCGTTGGTTACCCCGCTGTAACGCCCACGGTAGTACCGTCCATTCAGATTAGCTGCCAGACAAGCATCAAACCACCAGCCAGCACCATAGTACTGACCACAACTTCCCGACACGTAACGGTCATAGTCTCTGTCAGCAGTGCTGAAGGACCTGCCGTCGTGGTTGTAGCGCTTACTGTAACTCAGTGCATTACCTGCATCACCAGAATACTCCCGTGCTGTCAGGCGATACCTGGAAGATAGACAAACAACATTTGAGGGTTTTTTTGTTTTGTTTTTATGTGTGTGTTGTTTGTTAAAAGCCGAGTAAAATTATGTTTTATATTAATTTCACACTCCCGGCAAGGTGGCAAATGGATTGATTCTTATACAGTACTTTTCTACTTTACTTGAGCAATCAAAGCATTTTATATAACACGTCTCATTCACCCATTGATACAAGCACTTTTGGCTGTGTTGAAGTGCCTTCTAGCAACCATTCACACTTTTAGCAACCATCACAAACCACCAACCTTCCAATTAGTAAATGACCTGCTCTACATCCTGAGTCACAGCCACACCAAGACAGTGAATGGGTGATAATGGAAAGAGTCCTGGATATACAAGTCTCCTAGCTTGTATAGTGTTATGTAGACTATCGTGTATGTGGAAAACTAGAATGCAAATACTGTAACTGATTATAGGTAAAAGTGAAAACTTCAAAAACTACAGTTTAAAGTAAGTTAAAGATGGTCATTTGAATTACATAAAGACATTAGGCGAAGACATTAATTGCCTTTGCTAAAGTTTGAAAGGTAATGTTAAAAACTTTATTAACTTTTAATTTATTAACTCTGCTGATCTGCTTCAGGATGTAGTTTGATCAAAACTGATTGGCAGCCATACAAAAACAACACACATCTCTCAGGACATTAATCACATTTTGACTGAAATATTCAGAACCTTGTCTGTTCGTGTAAACGTGCAGTTCATACTTAAGAAAAAAGTGATTGGGAAAACAAGTTTTCATGGCTGTTGTTAATACATGAAAGCAAATAAGATTGTGACTGAAGATAAAATAAATACATTTTTGTTGTAGCTGACTTCCAGACTCAAGTCTCTCTTTTTCTGACCTTTGGTCTAATCCCCAGGTAACTTTAATCCCTTAGCGCAGAAAATATATCTGTGTGCAGAGTGCTTCACCTCTGTGCCTCCGAGGCCACTTTGAAGTTGCTGTAGGTGGCTTGGCGCCTCTGCTGGTGCCAGTCCTCCAGCTCAATGCGGAGTTGGTGTTGGCCACTGGAGGTAAGGGCATGCAACGCTGCGTTACCCAGCCAGTGTTCTCCTTGCAGATTTCCAAAGCCCTCCCGGTATTCCTGCCATGTTCTGTTGAAGTCCACTGAGCCATCTTGCCGATTCTGGATTACTGTCCACCCGCCACCCGCAGTCTCCATGTCACATTTAGCCTAAACCAATACAGAGATTCTAATATTATAAGGCCCAGATTTTACTGATCCACAGATAGCATGCACATCTCCAAAAGAAGCTGACCAGGGTGGTGTGGGCTTGGGGTGCGGGCGATATGTCTGTCTCATTTATGAGTGCGGTGAATCTGAAATACCTCTAGTGCCGGCCCATTCAGGTCAGGCTGGATGGTGTAGATTCCATTCTCTTTGATCCCCAGCGTGTAAATCTCTGCACAGTCCCGAGGATGTAGCCTCTCCAAGGGGGCAACTAGGGCACACACAGTGCATTTTCTGCTTAGAAATGAACAACAATTCACGTGGCTACCTGTAATGCCCTCACCTGTGGGTGGATGTTGAGTGATGCTCTTGAGGAAAAGCAGCAAGTCTTTCTCCCCCTCTCTCCCCACCGCTGCGCTCTCTGCCAACCAAGAGATAGATTAGGTTATCAGTGAGGCCAGTCACGCTGTCGTCAGGGGCTGAAAATAGATGCTCCCCTGTATACCTCACAGAGAGGATGCATGATAGCGCTCTCAAGGCTTTTTCGCTTTGTGAGCTGTACCGTATGTGTCTGTGCATCTGTGTGTGCATGTATACAGAGTTTTTGCCATGCTTCTTAGTGCAGTTAAATTCCTATGTACTCACCTATGACCGATGCCTAGCAGGTCTCATTGAGGTTCTGTTTACTATGTGTGGGGGAGCGACTGCACTGGCATTTATGTGTGTGCATGTTTGTGTGTTGCAGAGATTGGGGATATAAAGGTGTACTACTTACCCAGTCGTTTAGCCATTGCCCCAAGCGCCTGGCTGTGACAGTGGAGGTCACACTCTGTCAGCACAGCTGCCATTAAAGCCAGGATGGCCCCAAGAGAATTGCTCTCCTGGCCCTCGTGACTCCAAGGTCCCCCAGTATCCTGGACAGAGCGCATGCAGCGCTGCAGCTGAACCAGGCGCTCTCTGACAACCCCAGTCTGCTAGACAGTGACACAGATATATCTAAATCATTTTGTGAAAGTCAGAAATGATTCAGCACTCCTTAGTGTTATTCAGTCATGCATAAAAAGTCTAAAAATAAAGCTGTGCATGTGCATAAATATCATCCACACATCCTCACACATAACCGACAGCTCAGTTTTGTGTCACAGTGTGTCTCTTACACTTACATCACCCATGTTAATCATGTCCCAAACACACCTGTTCCTGCATGAGCTCAGCACAGCCATATGATGAGGATATTTTTAAAGCAAACCTAATTTTGTCCCTTCTTTGATTGCTGACGGTTATTGTTCCCTGGCTGGAAGGTGGTGCCAAGTCTAGCGTTCCATGAGAAAGAACCTGCTGGCATGAGTTTGGTAGTATGCCGCTCACTCTCACTACAACACGATGAGTAAAAAGGTAAACTTTAAGGTCTCCCAGGCTGCTGGAGTTAATTGACTGTTTAAGAGTTGTTTCTGGCCCCTCTGAGATTTTAGGATTTTTAAGCTGGGAACTGTGAAAAAACACAAACACACACACACAATGAAAAGTACTGTATAAAATGTCAGTTACCTTGTACTGAAACTGGGGTTGTTCATGTTTGTGCTCCACTTTCCGAGGGATGTCCGAGATTGCTGCAAGTGAAACCCCTGTCCTGCAGGCAGTTGTCCCAGTTTGACCCTCACAAGCCCCGGTACCTGCTCCAGCTCCAGTCCCAGGCTGGATGGGTGAGGCCACTAGATTATCTTTGCAGGGAGGATTTATACAGGCTGGAGAGGCAACTAAGGATAGCAGCACTCCCACATAGAGGAGAGGAAGCATGCTAAACTTAAAGGAACTGAAAGGAAACATGGAAAAATGTTTTAAACCTCTTAAACCGTGGTCCAACGTTGTTCCTCCAAGTAGTTGCTTTGTGTTGACGATTCCCTGCAAACTTTCTCTTCACTTTCCTTCAGCTCATCAAGCAGTGCCTCTTCAGGCAAATAGACTATGCTGACTTTGTCCTTTTTTTAAGAGGGAAAATTAGATCTTCATAGTCATGTCCTTGTCCATTTTGTGTTTTCTTCTCTGGGTTTCTTTCATGTTCTTTCTTTCTTCTCAGATCATCTCACTTGTTGTCCCCTTTCTCGTGCTCCTGCTAGTGAGGTTGCTTTGGCTCAGATTCCTAGATAAATGCGGCACTCTTTGCTGTCTGACACGGACTAATGCACCCACCCCCTAATACACACACACACACACACACACACACACACACACACACACACACACACACACACA